AAATGTATTCCCCAAACATGTGGACCGTCAAGCAAACGACGAGTACCATGGTGGAATAATGAGTGCCGTGATGCTCGAAAAAAACAAAATAAGGCATGGAGGTTGCTTAGATACTCGCCCACAGCCGAGAATCTTGTAAACTTTAAAAACGTTAAGTCGCAAGCAAGGAGGACGCGCCGACAGGCGAAAAGAGAAAGTTGGCACAAATTTGTGTCGGGCATTAACTCATACACAGATGAGTCGAGAGTCTGGAGTATGGTTGGTAAGGTGGCAGGACGAGGAGCACATTCTCTTCCTCTAGTGAACACCCAAGGCGAGAGTTTGGAAGACCAGGCAAACACTCTCGGAGCACACTTTGAACAGGTCTCCAGCTCAACACACTATAGTGAAGCGTTCCGACGATACAAAACCGCAATAGAAAAACAGAGATTAGAGCGCAAGCCCAGAACACATGAGGCATACAACGAACCTTTCTGTTTGGCTGAACTGCAGGCCTCATTTGCCTGCTGCAATAAATCTGCCCCAGGCCCGGACCGTGTGGCATATGAAATGTTGAAACACCTGCCCACTGAAACCCAGAAAGCTCTCCTCTCTCTCTATAATGCGATATGGTCTTCTGGCGAGCTACCCTCAGCCTGGAAGGAAGCTATCATCATCCCAATTCTAAAACAAGGCAAGGACCCGGCCTCAGTTTCCAGCTACAGGCCAATAGCATTAACCAGCTGTATCTGCAAAGTCTTTGAAAAAATGATTAACAGGCGCCTGATGCACTTCCTTGAAATTAATGGCCTACTTGACCCATACCAGTGTGGATTTCGAGAGACTCGGTCCACCACTGACCACCTTGTCCGTATCGAAGCACAAATTCGCGATGCTTTTGTTCATAAGCAATTTTTTCTGTCTGTGTTCCTCGATATGGAAAAGGCATATGACACTGCATGGCGCTTCGGCATATTGCGAGACCTGTCACATTTAGGTGTGCGGGGTAGAATGCTGACAGTTATCGAAAGCTACCTGTCCAATCGTACATTCCGTGTCCAAGTTGGCACCGTCTTCTCTCGAGTATTTGTCCAAGAAACAGGAGTGCCACAAGGAGGTGTATTGAGCTGCACACTTTTCATAGTTAAAATGAATTCCTTGCACCTGTCTCTCCCACGAAATATTTTTTACTGCATATATGTCGATGATGTGCAGATTGGTTACAAATCGTGCAACATCTCAATGTGCCAACGCCAAGTTCAACTAGGGTTGAACAAGGTATCTAAATGGGCAAACGAGAATGGTTTTATACTCAACGCGCAAAAGAGCACTTGTGTCTTGTTCAGCCGAAAGAGGGGCCTCCATCCTGACCCAGACATTGACCTGCATGGTCAACCTCTGTCAGTGAAGACCGAGCACAAGTTTCTTGGTCTCATATTAGACACTAAGCTAACCTTCATCCCACACATCAAGTATTTAAGGGACAGGTGCTTAAAAACAATGAACATTTTGAAAGTGTTGTCACGCACTACATGGGGTAGCGACAGGAAATGTTTAATTAACTTATATAAAAGCCTCGTACGCACACGCCTAGATTACGGTGCTATAATTTATCAGTCGGCAACACCATCAGCCTTGAAAATTCTCGACCCTGTCCACCATCTAGGCGTTCGCCTCTCTACGGGTGCTTTCCGCACCAGCCCTGTGGAGAGCCTGTACGTGGATTCGAATGAATGGTCGCTGCACCTACAAAGATGTTCCTTGTCCTTTCTGTACTTTTTGAAGGTGAAGGCAGACAAGAAACACCCTTCCCATTTCATAATTAATGATTTGTCTTGTTCTGGCTTGTTCGAGAACCGTCCTTCGTTTAGGCAGCCCTACGCGCTGCGTGTAAGGAGCCTGGCCGAAGAAACAGGTGTGCCTCTTCTTGAACCCAGTTTGATGGCTCCTGCAACATATCTGCCACCGTGGCAGTGGCAGCTTATAGACTGTGATATCTCTTTTGTTGATGTCACAAAGCACGCACCACTTGCACACATACATACATTTTTCCTAGAACTACAACATAAATACACATGCCCCGAGTTCTTTACCGATGCGTCAAAGTCAAACACTTCTGTGTCATATGCAGCGGTAGGCCAATCCTTTTCCGAGGCTGGCGTTCTTCATCCTAATGCAAGCATTTTCACAGGAGAAGCTTACGCAATACTGGCGGTCGTAAAACACATTAAACAGATAAAATTACAAAAGGCGGTAATATACACAGATTCCCTAAGCGTGGTCAAAGCCCTGAAAACTCCTAAAAAACACAAGAACCCCGTGCTGGTGTCACTCTACTCACTTCTGTGCACACTTTACACATCAAAACAGCATGTCGTTGTCTGCTGGGTTCCAGGGCACCGTGAAATACAAGGAAACGTTTTGGCCGACAATCTGGCTGCTTGCGCCAATGTCACTACTGCCAATGCATCAACACCAGTCCCTGCACTTGACTTAAAACCTTTCATAAAACGAAAGCTCAGGGAGTATTGGCAGAGCATGTGGGATAAACACACAGATAATAAACTACATGCTATTAAGCCGCAACTAGGTTATTGGCCGCCACTATCAAAATCACGACACACAGAAGTAATACTAACAAGGCTTAGAACAGGACACACACATTCCACACACTCATTTCTTCTGTCCACCGGTGATCCACCATATTGTGAGAGATGTGGAGACCCCCTTACGGTTCTCCACATTCTCGTCCAGTGCAATGAGCTAGATGCTCTCAGAAAAAAGCACTTTTTACTGCCCTACCGACAGCAGCTCCCTCTACACCCTGGGATGCTCATCGGTAGGGATCCGCTTTTTAAACTGCATGCACTTTTTAGGTTTTTAAAAGATGTGCAAAGCTTTCACCCGATATTTCGAGGTCATCCGTAGCACGACCTCTATAGTGTGGTCGTCGCTGGGGTGACTATATCTTCATCATGGTTTGATTATCAAGACAATTTTGCCATCGGCTATCACCACACATATGTCACGCCACTGTCATAATTTTATTACTTTCATGTTTTAACCCGCGTTAGAGCGAGGAATTTTAAGGCCCCTTTACAGCCACGCACCATATCATTGTTCATATCTGTAGTCAATTGAAATGGCGCTCTTTGGCCATCAATTGGCCCTTGCGCCACTAAAATCTACTCATCATCATCAAACCCTACATGTCAATCAATCAATCAATCATTCAATTTCAAAAAATGAATTTTTTTGTCACTTTTTGGTCCCAAAGACCAGTCTGCCCCCTTAAATGAAACTTCTCATAAATGGAAGAAGTTTTCTTGCCTCTTCGAGTTCGGTTTAAGAGAAGTCCACTGTATTGCATACATTCTTTGGGAGAAAACTTTTTTACAAACTGAGAGAGTTGCAAAGTAAATCTGCCTCTCACAATAATCTGGGGTCTGGGCTGATTGCAGTGCACTAAAATAGATTTCTTAAATTAATTTGAACAATAGTAATGCTATGTTGAACATTTGTGAGTAGGCTAATTTCAAGCTAGGATTTCACTGGCAAATGTTCAGCCTAATTTTTCGTGCAAATGGTTTGAACATCTATTTTTGTGGTACTGCAGTTGGCTCTGATTCCACATTCTTGTAATATATACTGATTTACTTAGTAATTCTTTTAGTTTAGAAAAAGAACTTGCTCTTGTAGAAGACTTGCCAAATATTTTGTATTTTAGAAACTATTTTATGCAAGACAAATAATTGTATATATAAACTCAGCACAGAAATACACATTAACTCACCGAATTTTATCAAAATTGATCAAGAAATAATTATTCTTTAGTGCATTGTCCCCTTTAATGAGTGGTTCCTTATCACTTGCAAAAGTGATTGCCACTAGCACCAGAATAATCTCTTTCCAGGTCGATCCTATGACATGTGCAATTCTCTGAAATGCTGCAAACATGCAATGTCTTCTTCCTGCTAGCTAAGCAAGTAAAATATTTTTTTTGAAAGAGTAGCTGGAAGTGGTGAATGATTATGCTGCGCAAAATTGCCATTCATGGTAGCCATCTGGCAACAGCAGTGATGCTACACTGTAAGGAAAAGTCGATTGTTTAGGGAGTATTCATGCCACGCAACAATAATTACCGTCTGCTTCACGTACTTTACTCTCATTATCCTCTGGGTTTCGGCACTTCACGGTCACTAACAGCGTGCTATTTACAAGTGTGATGTAGTATTTTTGATAAAGAAGTGGCAAGCACCGGGTTTTCAATAAAGGAAACTCGAGCAAGTCAGGTGAGGGTCATAGTTGTGTGGCAGAATTGCTCCCCAAATACTCCACATTTCTTCCGAATGTAGCCAGACTGACTCTGACTATGCTGCAAATGCAGTTTTGGTTTTCATCTCGTTGCAGTACCTGAGGACTTTTCTGATTAACTTTCTCTAAAACAGAAAGGCAGTCACCAGAATTTAATTATTGCTTTAATACTTAATTTCAAGCTACCATGGTTGTGGGAAAATCTTTCCTGGTTGGGTTGAAAATGGGATTTTGGCGAGAAATAAAGTGTGTTAATGACATTTGTTATACCGCAAGCACTATTAAATCAAACATTGCTGCTATAGGAGCCATTGCTTCAGTTACCATTGGGGTTGGGTGCTGGCAAGATGACTGGCTAAGTTTTAATTATTTGGAAAAGGGTATTTTCAGGATTGAAATGGTGAATGGTTGGCACCATATAAATTAAATGTGGAAGCACTGGTTGGGACCTGTGCTTTAAATAGAAAACACTGAAAAATAGAAATTAATGGAGTCAAATTAATGGAAGCACTTTACTGTATTTAATAATTATTGTGATTCGGTGCAGTAGACTACGATGAAAGTATCTCTTCTCCGCAAATTGAACAACCTGTCAGTATGGATCAGGACTCCTCTAGAGTGCTTGTCATTTGGTTTTTAGTGACAATGGCTTCATGGTATGGGGAATGTATAACTGATCCTGCTTTGCCCTTTTCTGGTGTGCTCAGGTGCTACAAAACCTGCATGTGTTGACATCATGGCTGCTGCTTAGAGGCCTACATGTGATACTGAGCCTGAACACATTCCTTGATCGAGGTATTTGCAAGGAAGGTTCGGGTGCCAAAAGCAACAGGGGGTCCTTGGATCAGACACCTACCAGGACCAGAGAACAGTCCAGTGGCCTCAAGCAGAACCTTCTGCGCATGTGAGTGCCTGACACTTCCACACACATGCTGACTAAGGCCTCTGACCACATTTTGGCATCGCAAAAGAGCAAGTGTAGAAAATTGATTGGTCGTTAGCAATTGTGTCTGCAAAGTAAGGAACATCTGCATGGTGAAAAAACGGTCAAGATTTAAAATTGTAGTTTGTGTTCTTTGTTTGTGGTAGTCGCAAAAAGGCAACACGAGGAGTGTCTATGTAAGAGGTGCTCTTTGAAAACTTTTACAGTTGGTTTGCACTTCTGTGGGCTGTATGTTTGCCCAACTAATGGCGGCAACTGTTGTGCTTCAAGTGGAGACAAAATACTATTTGCATATGCTTGGGCTTGCATTACGCACGTTTATGTCAAGAGAGCATAGGCTACATTTTCCATGTCATAATGTAAGCAAACTGCACTTGTGTACGGTGTTTGCAGTAAGTGGCTAGCTGCCATTAGTTGGGCAAACTGCATAGCAGCAAAGCTAGCTTTACAATTACGAAAAAGGTCCATTGTGACTTTAAACACTTAACATTAGCCGCTAGATTAGCAGCAACTTGACATTGACTGGAAAAATCTGGATCTGTGTGAATAGTAAAATTATGGGTGCTAATCAAAATCAGATATTGAATTATGAGTGCAAATTACATTGAATATTTTTAGAGTATTTCTAGAATATTTTTTGAATACTTCGAAGTGCCGTTGCCGGAAAAAAAAAGCTGTAAAGGATTTCTAACCACATTCCTATGAGATGGAAACATGAAAGTTTCTTTTGGCTAGACTGATTAAGTCCTAGTGGGATTGTGTTTCATAGATGTCTTGACAATGAAGCAATGCAGAGACTGAATTTTATTTATGGGCATGATTTGGTGCATTCAAATTATTTCCGGTAACACTTTGCATGGGAAAGACAAAGGTGTTAAAACCTCAGCCTCTCCTTTTCTTTCAACTTTAGTTGAAGCCTAACTAATGAAATGGACAAGGGTTGGTTTCCTTTAAGTCCAGAGTTCCAAATCCGCCTCGTCGACATCAATAGATAGCATTTTAAATTTTGGATGCTAAAAATTTCTGGTGTCCGTATTTTCGAACTTGTTGGCCAATTTTAGGTCCAAAACAGCATCGAACCCCCACTTCTGCTTCATGTTGGATTTCTTGAGTCAAAAACGTTTGCAACTGTTGAAGAGCTTGAAAGGCAGCTTTCCCGCAATGCGAGCTTGTGATGGAGGGAAGCATGTTGAAAATTTGAAAAGGTGAAAAGGTTATTGTCAATTGAATGTTGATTGAATGTGTCTTTGGAAAGTTCGAACAGTTTGAATAGTTGAATTTCAGTAATAATCGAATAGCAAACACTTTTGGAAAAATATTCGAAATTTTGAATATTTGCACAACCTTAAAAGGTATTCATATTACTCATACTAAAAGAACCGTGTGGGATTTCAGTCCATGAGTATTGTACTTCAGTGATTAGCAGAGCAGAGCTCCAGCTGAAAATATTCACAAAAGGTTCACTCAAATTTTGCATATTCTTTCTTGGGCTGCAGCCAGCAAGGTTTCGGAGTGTTGCCTGTGGCACTTGCCAACCAAGTGCTGTCGCTTCTGACCAGTGTGTTTGCTGATCTGCGACTGGAAGCTGGTGCAGCACCTGAAGAGGGTGATCGAGAAGGCAGCCGTGCGGATGAGCGCATTCTCACCTTCCTGGGCAACATCAATACACCTTTCTCTGCATGGAAATGTGTCCGGGTGCTCATGCAGCTGAACCTACCTGCCCTGCTTTTTGACCTTGTCTCAGTCTCTTACCGCAAGGTAAAGTATGCTTGGGATTTGAAGTTTGTTGCCAAGGACAAGGCACGTTTTGCCACTCACGTGTAGCGATCAATCGCGCGTTTGTATCATCCATGATGGCTGGGGAAACCGGTCATATAACACCAAATCACAGCACATTTTACATAACGTAGTTCATTTGAAGCTGGCTTAAAATTGGTATCGTGAAATTCAGATCAACCGTTATCGTACCATTGAGCTTCTACATATGCAAATTTTATGTAGAGGTTCCTATGCTTTAACAGTAAAAATAACCTGCTGCCTAACTAGACATATGTTCGATGCTGAAGCATACCAGCAAAAAAAGAAGAGCAGTGTGACTAAAGTTTTCCACAAGATCTGCGATGAAACTTTTTAAAACATACTAAAAGATTCAGCTCTCTTGCATGACTATGTGGTAGTACTGTGGTTACCTATGTAATAGTCGCAATTCATTTTCAATTAGTTGGAAGCAAATTTAGAGGTGCTACTATACGTGGAAAAAATACTGAGCTAATAAAAGCATGTGCTCGGGTATGGTCGTCAAACAGAAGCAACACTTGACCGTGATAACTTCTTAGGAATTTCTGTAGGTTACGAGACTGTTCAAATAATATGAATAAATATTGTAGATTTTTGTTGTGTGTAGTCTATATCTGACACCCATAATTTTTTTCACATTGCAGGCAGGGATGTTGAAGAGGATTCAGAAGCATCCAACAGATGGCGACAACTTCAGCACTTCAGATTCAAACACATTCTATGAAGAAGACTTCAGTACATCAGATGAAAGCAGTGTTGATGAAGGTGATCATTGTTGCCAAAATGTGCTGGCTCTTATTCGTACTTTATTGTTCCTTTCTGATATAGACTTTTAAAGCTGTTGCCCATTATCATGGATCCTAATACAGTAAAAGCTCAGGGGTGGAACAGCTGTGCCTTTTGCGTCATCCTGTGTCAAAGTCTCTTATTAGCGCCATACTGCGCCACAGCACCCGAATTCACCCGAAGGGGGCTCATGCTCTGAAAACTAATGCTCTGAAAACATAGCTGAAACATAGCTGAACTTTCTGTTTCATTGAAACAGATATGTTTGTGGTTTCGGCAACGCTCTGATCGCTCAAGCAGCAACTGTGTAAGGTCATGATTCAGGGCGCGCGTGCTATCTCTGCAGGCATCAGTGCGAATAGCTCTTAAACCCTTCTACCTGCTGTGCTGTCAATGCTGAAGAGACAGCTCAAAGAGCATCTTTTCAGCGATATGTAGAGATATGCGATTTTTTATCCGCAACAGTTAGCTGCCAGCCGTACTTCGCATAGCACAAATTGTTGCTATCGCATTCATAGCTTCACCCTTGTGGTCAAACTCTTTTTTTATAACTTGCATTATACGGTGCAACTCGGCGGTTGACACTTGTGAGTTCACGTTTCGTACCGCAAGTAGTCGGCAATGAATGCGATAGCAAGAAATAGTCATGTTATATGAAGAGAGGCTGACAGCTACAGTCGAATCCTGTTACAATGAAATTGATCGGACATGTGAAAAAATTTGTTGTGGAATTTTATCGTAGCGAAGCATCTTTAGACCTCGAAATTTGGTAAAATTTTATTATGATAAGGATAATCTTATTTAATGATCATTAATTCAAGTCATCAACTTTTTAATTATTAGAGGTAGGTGGTCTGGTCAAACTGTTAAAGAGCCAATTGCTGTTTTGAGATTTTGAAAAAGCAGCTGGAGGCAATTAATGTGGAATATTGAAATTCGTCCATTCCTTTTGTCAAATCCAAAACTGAAGCACAGATGGGCTCAGCTATCAAATCGGAATGACATCTGTTCTTGACGATGACTGCAGCGGCATTGTCGTCTGCATTCATTAATGTATGTGCACTATGTGTGTTATAATTGCAAGCCCAGCTCTCACATTTACGAAGCGAAGTATATTGTTATGTAATACACTCAAGCCTCGTTTCAATGAAGTGGAAGGGGAGCCACAATTATTTCGTTATATCTATTATTTGCTTAAACAGGTTTTTTGTGGCAATGTATGCTCAGATGGGTGCACACCTAAAAGCATGCAAAGAAGGAAACCGCCTCACGGCTCGATGTACCGCTACGCCACCACACGTGCGACAGAAAATAAACACAGTCGAAACGCATTGATTCGAACACGCTAAATTAAACTTCTTTCCGGTTAATTCGAACTCAAGCGTGGTCCCGTGAAACCTATGTGTATTCCAATGGGCAAAAACACTCAGTAATTCGAACGTGCGAGCAGTTGTGACTGGTAATTCTAACATACCGTTCTCTGAAAGTGCTCTCAGCACCATGCCCAGTCCCGCAGTGGCACCTCTCAACGCTGCGCGAAGAAGGAAAAGAAGAAAAGGAAAGAAAAGACTGCGGCGGATTGGTTGCTTTCTCTTAAATTTTACTTTGTTATATTGGGAAACGCCTGTGCCATGCTTCTCTCTTTTTCGCTTTTGCACATAGAGACCCTTCTTCTCTCAAGGCTACGTGTGGAGAGAGATAAAAAAAAGAAAAGAAAGCTGTCGCGTAGACTTGACTCTCTCTAATGCCAATCTGCTTCTCTCCGCGTGGAGACACTCCTCCTTTCGCGGTGCAGAGAGTAGCAGCGGAGACGCAGTTGTTGCCGTCGGCCTAGCTGCGTGCTACTGTGCTTTGCAAACTGCATGTGAAGTTGATTGACTCGCTGCAAGGCAAGCGTGTGCAGACGCGCATCACCGATTACTTCAATTAATGACGGATGTCCTCTGATTTGTGAATAAATGTAAGTCTTCTGAAGCTTCCCCATTGTGTGTTCTTAAGTGAGAGGGAAATCGCTTTGCACTGCAGCACCACTTCTCTGTTATGTGACCCTCGGAGCACTTCCTCAATCCTCTCCGCTGGCTGTGTGAGGAGGACGGCTCTCTCGGTCGCGCATGGCGTGGCTGTAAGGTGGGCGCGAGAGTTTTAAAAGACCTGCGACGAACGACCTTCAAACTCCGCAGAAAACAATAAACAGCCAAATCTCATTAATTCGACCACGCTTAATTCGAACTTCCGGTTAATTCGAACTCACAATGAGGTCCCATGAAAGCTGTGTGTATTTGAATGGGCAAAAACGCCCAGTAATTCAAACGCGCAAGCACTAATTCGAATGCGCAAGCAATAACCCCACTTGCGACGGTTAATTCTAACATACCACGCTCCGAAAATGCTCTCAGCACCCCGCCCAATCTCGCGGCGGCATTTCCGACACCTCAACGCTGCGCGCGAAGGAAAGGAAAGGAAAGAAGAGGCTGCGGTGGAATGTTTGCTTTCTCTCTCTCTCTCTCTCTAATGTCGATCTGCGACGTGCTGGTGTTACGCTTCCCCCTTCCTTGTCCCTGCCACATAACCCTTCTTCTTTCAACAACGCGCGCGAAGAGAGCAAAAAAAAAAAAAAAAGCTGCCGTGTAGTGTTGGTTTATCTCAAATGCCGTTCTGCTTCTCTTCGCGGGGAGATGATGCTCCTTTCTTGTCCACGCTGCGGCTTTGGCGCAGTGGGTAGTAGCGGGGATGCAGACGTAGTTGTCGTCTTTATCTAGTGTCAGCGCTGAACATTGCCGAGCGCAACTTCTTTTGCCAGGAGAATCCCGAACTCGAAGTAGACATATGCTTTGCAAGCTGCGTACGAAATTGACTCGCTGCAAAGCAAACGTGTGCAGACGTGCATCACCGATTACTGCAATTAATGATGGATGTCCTGTGATTTGTGAATAAATGTAAGTCTTCTGAAACTTCCCTCTCGTCTGTTAGCTCAATGCACATGCGCCACTGCATAGGGAGCCTTCCGTTTACTTAGCTTTCATTAATTAGAACTTCTTTTAATTCAAACAAATTTTCGGGCCCCTTCGAGTTCGAATTTTCGAGATTAGACTGTACTTAACACTACGGTAATTTTTTTTTTGATAGACTAGTTGATAGACTAATTTGTTATATCTATTTACCTGTCAATTTTACTTTGTTACAACGAGGTTTAAAATGCATGGTTCTTAATAGAGCTTTCAAGGGGAATTTTACTTTGTTATATTCATTATTTCGTTATATTCTCTTACATTATAACGAGGTTTGAGTGTAACTCCTGCTTGTTCTGGCTACCTTGGAAGAGTATGGCAGCAGTGCTCTTCCACATTTTCGTTAACCAGTGAAATTGGTCGAATTTCATCACTGTGTAAAATCGTCAAGGTGACTTTTAAAAATCTCAAAGCAACAATGGGCTTCTTGTAGGAAGCGCTCCAATTCACTGGTTTGACGAGACCGTCCATCTACACTAATTTATAGGTTAATGAGTTTAATTTCTTTCATTTCTGTCAGATGGTAATATGTCTGCTACCACAGAAAAAGTAATTATGAAGGCCACAAGAAAATCTCAATTTATCTCAATTTTCTGTAATTTTTACTCTGAAAATCTATGTAAGTCACAGAGAAAAATTTACCTTGAAAAAAATTAGAGGTGTGTGACCACAGAATTGAGTCATTGACCTCTGGCTGTGCGATGAATTCTTAGATAATCTAGCAACGAAGGCATTATTTGCTACTCGATTGAAATGATGAGCTATTCATAGACATATCATAGAGTTGATGTGCTTGTGTCTGAGCTACTTTGATTACTTCAGCGTCACAGAAGCATCTTCATTAACTGCCTGCGCGGGTTTTTATACGCGGGTTTTTGACACTATACTACATAAGGGAAAAGGGCTGCCCTCAGTATTATACAAGAAGAGTTGCATTACAAGCAATAGGAAATTTAATGTGTTCTTTAATGCTAGACCTAGCAGCTCACATTGATAAAGCTTGCTTCAAACATCAAATCTGTAAAGGGAATACCGTATTTACTCTCATAATCCTCGCACTTTTTTTGCCGGAAAACTGATGCAAAGTTGGGGGGTGCGAGAATTACGCGGGGAAAACTTTCCACGAAAACGTACAGAGCGAAAAAGAAAACGAAGTGGCCGCAAATCGAGATTCTCACACCAGCAACTTACAGCAAGCTTTAAGAAGTACTAATTAGAACTTACCTCAACAATAAAAGCAGAGATACAACACAAGACAAGATTTATTAAAGACACAAAAAGTGGAAGTAAATAGTCGAGCATTAGAATACCGTACGCAAAGCTTGCGGGCGTTGCGGGCGTAGCGGTAGTGTCGCTCAACAGGAGCCCTCAAAAGGTAAGTGTGGGATGTCAGTATTGGGCTGATGGCTATTTAACAGAATCGTCCACAGTTTTCTTCTGAAGAAATAAAGTTTACCATCGATCCCAGATTTAGGCACACGGCAGGCCCATCGCGCCTTGGTGGCTTTAAGCTGCCGTCACCAGTAGCGAACACAAAACTCGTAGACTCCGAAGGGCCTACCGGCGGCCCTGTTGCCGTTGTTTAGTGCATGATCTATCACTTGTAACTTCAAAGCAGCTGTACAGCTCCAATATCGCCTCATAACGTGGCAAGATTACCGACACAACATACAAAACACGCCGCAACACACACTGGCCACTTCGGCTTGGCTTCGGCTTGACTTGAATTGGATTGAATCTCTGTGCAATAGTACACCTAATGCTTAAGAGATGGCGCCAGATAGCGTGCGCTATCATTAGCAGTGGCTGGAAAGAGCAGACGACGTTATTGCAGCAGTTTTCGGGGGTGCGATAATTACTTGAGGAAAAAAAGAAATCGTATTTTTGTTGGGTGATGTGGGGGGTGCGAGAATTATGCGAGTGCGAGGATTACGCAAGTAAATACGGTAATAGGCTGAAATAAAGTGACAAGGTGGCGCATCTTGTCATGGGGCGAACTTGCACTCCACTCTGCATCCAGATGTATAGATATAGAGCTCTTGGGTTTTAAACTATTGTTGAATTCCAATGGCGGAGTAATGAAAGTTTTTGTGCACATTTTGGAGTTAGTGTGTTCCAATCACAGACTAAGGTTGGCAGCCAAGCTTTCAAATGAGAGAGTTGGAGTGGATTCAGAATGGTAGGCACTCTGTGGAGCAGGAAAAGTTGCTCTACCAAAATCAGCTGAGTAGGCCGGAACTCTGCATGACGTATTACCTTGAACACGTTCGCCTACTTTGAAGTGCTGCCAGTGGTTGCTTGTTTTGATGGTGAATGGCGGACGACATGGACAAGTCAGCAAATTCCGCTGCTTGACAGTGGCAGCCGAGTCAGAAAAGGGGTTTTGCTCAAGGGATTCATCGTATAGTGACAGAGACAATAAAACTGATGTGCACAAATGTGGATTGGATAGAATTTGACTGTAGAATGGAATAAGTATATACAAGGTCTCGACAACTCAACAAACGAAAGATAGACTTCTTGCTTCTACCTTGCTCCAACAACATGTGTTGTGTTTTAATTGCTGGTCTGGAGGCATTGCTCTACGCCACAGTCATGTGCTTTCTCACGGAGTTTGTCGGCTGCTCTGACTGTGCCATTGGAATTCAACGAATTTCTCTGTGCTATGAGATCGGCAAAAGCGGCCTATATTCTCTGAAGTGTCCACAGTAACGTCCTGCGGAAACGCAAAGTACCGAGAGGAGCGCATGGAATTTACCTCAATATGGCCGCATACTTGCGCGTCTCTTTATCACTTGCTAGCTGGACGAAAAACCTCCGGGCAACTTGGTGAGTCCTCAGGGCGACCGAGGACTTTGCTTCGAAAAACACAGGCGGGTTCCAGCAACCCTCTGACTGATGTGCTGAGATCCCAGGCACATTTGTACTATGCCAGACTGGTGTCTCGGGGAGCCCGTGGTGAGTCCGGGACTGGTAATCAGAGGCCTGCCAAATATTACTTGCACATGGCATCCTCAAGTATGGTTGCTTTGTTATGCAGATGACAGCGAGCCCATCTTGGGTCACTGGTATGAGCTAACGACTGCCCTACGAGAAAATAGCCCTGCTCCAGGACCACTGCAGCCAAAGGGAGTTGCCGAGACTGAAGTGACAGAAACCAGAGGTGTCCGCTGCTCCTTGGCTGATGGCCGACCCCTGATTCCAGACAAAGAGGAACCACATGGGGTAAGCATACCTGCCAAGTATCTTGTTCTTATGTTTGTATGGCTGTCATGAAAATCTCCAGGAAATCGAAATTTCTGCACGTCATCTTGCCACATTGACAAAAATGTAGCCCAATCGTATCCAGGCTTTTTGCAAACCATCGCATTTTATTGCAATCAAATTTAGAAATTGTTCATCTAAACGTACAGTCGGTGTCTAATGAATCACTAACAGCCGAGCAAGTGTCGTAAGCATTTCAGAAGGTGTATTTATTTATTTATTTATTTATTTATTTATTTATTTATTTATTTATTTATTTATTTATTACAAATACCTACATCGCCCATTGGGCATTGTTGTAGGGGGGTTACAGTAGAAAATAGAATACAAAACAGCAAAATTAAAAGCAAATAAATCGTGCATTACAGTATACAGGAGAAATCAACACTTGTAGTACAGCATTAGAACAAAAGTACAAAACACAGGATTATACAACGAAAGCAGTAATTATACATATAAAAAGTCAACAACCAAGAGAAGTACAAAGCCAACGTTAAATATATGAGTTATTTCAGCTGCTCAAAATGCTGTTTCAATGGCTGTTAGGAAATTAGAATCAGAGAATATTGTTATTTTTAGTGCATTCCAGTCACTAATAGAATTTAGAAAGAAAGAGTATTTAAGGACATTCAATCGACTAATGTGCACCCTCCTGTCATTGCCATAAACAGGTCCGCTCGGCACAGCCAGTCTGACTTCACTGCATGATTCCCCTATAGTCCAGTATTTTCGCTTCTGTTATAGTTTTATCTTTGAAATGCTGCAAAAAATAATAAATAATAAAAATAAAAAGATAAAAGAAAATGAAACTGAAACGACCAAAAGCACTCTGCATGCCCATGTTGGCCCCTATCATCACCTTATCAGAACTAGAACGCAAGAAAATAATATTGTGTGATAGGGGGATCCCGCAATGCTGCCAAACCGGATATGCACACCTGTCATTGGTGATCACACTATTCGCAGCAAGATTGGGCTATAGGTGGCAGCATCGCCCCTTGGGGCGGATAAAATGCATTGACTACAGATTACTGTAATATCTATGCTCTTCTCCACTCAGTCGATAGCCTATGCAACGTTACCATTATCCGTGAGTAAAGCGCATTCAACCTTTCATAGGCTCCCCCTGGGTGACTCTCTTCACGCTTTTGCACTAAATCATGCCTTTGTTGTGTTGTTTGTTTGTGGTTAGCTTGTGTTCCCCCTGCTATGTACTGCTGTAGCGTGACTGAACTACTCATTTACATCTTTGTCATCTGCATACTTCAACAACAAAAAAAAAGATCGTAGAAAACCTGCATATCTGTGCGATTAGTTCAGTACCACCGTCCGCACCTTAAATACATTTTTTTTTTCTTATTCTGTTCACCATGAAATGTGGGAAAGCCGATAAGTCTAGTCAGGAAAGCTTAGTGGCTGATGGCGCTTTGCGCTACACTGCGTTAACCACGTGTACATTCATGTTCTTGCACCAGTAAAAATATTAAAATTCTATATAAGAGTTCAGCAGGAAGCTTTCATCGATGGATTATGTGCATGACAGTGCTACAACAAAGGCCTGGTTAAGGGGAGAAGTGAAGCATGTTTTTTATTTTCGGACAAAAAATGACCACTGCTTTCCACCGGTCACTAACAATGCCACACAAACTCTGAAGACATGTAAAAAAGGTAAAATTTTCAGTGAAGTTATGACATTATATATAAGGCATGCCGTCTGAAGCAATTTTGAACGTCTGGGCTCTTTAAAGCATTTTTAAATCTAAGCACAGGGTTGTGCACGGTAACTCTGTTTCAAGTACAGTTTAAGTACCAAAGTGTCACAGATTATGTGATATTATTTCTATGTAGTGGTACCACGGTCAGATAAACACAACTAAGGCTCCTCGTGTGATCGATAAACTACAGTGCCGTAGTTGTACACCTACCAACAACGCACAGGTGCATGGCCTAAAGCCTGTTTTTCTTTTTTTTTTTCAACAACCGAGTCGCTATAAAATGCTGCATTCACGCACCATTCATTAGTGCTCATGTGTGGGAGGATGCCAAGAGTATTTTGCATTGTGCTTGAAACAAAGCGGCACCCACTCTGAAATTATTCTGGTAAATGAACGGTACAATGACAATAAACATTACTCTGGAAAGTTGCACTTGGCGATTTTATTATAAAGCATTAGCAGCCGGGAAAGACCAAATTATTTTGTACGTCGTTTTAGGCATACATAGAAGCAGTTACACTCGCACTGACATTTTTCTGGTCATTTTTCTGGACATTTCTTCTGGTGGTTTTTCTGGTCACTGACATGACCAGAAAAACCACACTTTGAGAACATGCATGACGTACGCGCGCATATAAAGATGACGTGGCTAACAGACCAAACATTGAGGAATCCACACTTCGGCCAGTTGCCGCCAGCAACGACTTTGCTCGATTTTGCGGCCAATACTGCTGCTAATGCTTGGGCCACACAAACTATTGTTCGCGTTTCATTTCACGCTGATAGTGCAGTAGGGTCTCAGTGATACGAAGTCGGCCGATACGAATTCGTGAAATTCCCCAGCCAAATTTAACTGTGTCCTCTGGGTTAGATTTGAGACATTCAGAACACTTCCTCAAAGGGCGGGTGATACGGACTTTGGTACCGAAACCATTGAACAAAAGCTAAGAGCAGCGTGCTCAAAGCTTTAGAAGTTCTGAAAATACCCGCGTATAATATGAGGTTTCTTTTTTTCAAATATTAGCATTCCGAATTTCCGCTTCGTACTACAGTTAAACCTCATTATAACGAAATTGGAGGGCTGCCGCTATTTGCTCGTTATAACCAATATTTCGTTATAGCCGTAGCGGGCATTTACCGCAAATATTATGCACTATACTTACCCCCAAAAATAGCGGGCGAAATAGCATCTCGCCGCACGGTGGTATGCAACAAAATAACCGCATTTTTAAATAAAAAAGGAAAAAGTCATGCACCTGTTTTAATACACTTCAGAGGGTGCACGTTAAAGAACCCCAGGTGGTCTAAATTTCTGGAGCCCTCCACTACGGCGTCTCTCATAATCATATAGTTGTTTTGGGACGTTAAACCCCACATATCAATCAATCAACTAATGCACTTCAGAATACACAGCTTGCATTTCAGGCAGACTTACCTGCAAAGAAGTCCGTAATTGGACGTTGATGCATCTTCCTGATGCGAACGATGGCTCGCTCAGCTGCGGCCGCAATGTTCAAGCCATCTTCGCCGCCCTCGTGAGCGCCGAAGTAGCGGTGCAGCACGTCCACCGCGTCTAATGCCTCCGACGCCGTCGGCACGTTTGTCTCCTGTTCGTCGACAGAGTCATCGTCACTGGTTTCGTTACGATCACTGACAGCGCGCACAATATCGTCATCTAGGAGCTGCTCCGTTGCCACCACTTCAGAGTCCGCACTCACATAGTCGCAAAACGACTCGCTGTCAGGCACGACACTGGCGTCATGAAGTGCCGTCCATGATGCAGCGACTTCGTCTGATGTGGCGAAACCGTCCGGCACAGTGGGCTCGTCTGATGGCTCATCGCTGGCGTCTGGTGCGGCGGCAAATGAGGCGTGTCGAAAGCAGTTTGCGATCATGGTCGCCGTCACACTCATCCACGCCGCCTGAAGCATTTGGAGCGCAGCGTACAAGTCAACATCAGTGTCTCGCTTCATCCTCATGTTGAGCAGGAGCTTGTCTATCACACGCTTGCGGTAACCTGCCTTCAGCGACATAATCACGCCTTGGTCGAGCGGCTGTATTTTTGCTGTGCAGTTGGCAGGAAGGAACAGCAGCTCGATCTTTTGAAGCACGGCAGCGGTATGGTGGGCGGTGAAGTTATCTAAAACAAGGCACACCTTGCAGTCCGCCTTTGCCAGCTTCTCGTCCCATTCGCAAAGCCATTTTGAAAAAATCTCCGTCCTCCAGGCTTTGCGATTGGCTACGTACTTGACTGGGAGCTGCCTCTTCCCCTTAAAGCAGCGAGGGGATGCACTTTTGCCAATTACGAAAATTGGCAGCTTCTCAGAGCCGGTCATGTTTGCACAAAGTAGCGCAGTGATCCGCAGCTTACTTTGTTTGCCGCCATGGCACGGCTCGCCTTTGAGGGCTATCGTCTTGTGCGGCAACATCTTGAAAAAGAGAGCGGATTCGTCCGCGTTAAAAATATCCTCCGTGCTGTATTTTTCTAGCAGCCGCACGATGTTTTCTTTTGCCCACTTGGTAGCCTCTGCTTCGTCGACAGATTGCGATTCGCCGCAGACCGCTCTCCCGACAATGTCGTGGCGCTCCTTGAAGCGTTAGAGCCAACCCGAACTTGCTACGAAGTTGTCATAGCCCATGATGCAGGCAAGGTCTCTCGCTTTTCTTTGCAGCAAAGCGCCGCTCACCGGCAGATTCACGGCCCGCGTGTCCAAGAACCATTTAAAAACGGCCCTTTCGACCGCTTCAAAGGCAGGTGCCCTCATCCTTCTAGCGCTTCTTTTCACGCCACGTGCAACAGCGTCGATGATAGACTCCTGCTTACTCAAGATGGTTGACAGTGTGCTATACGCCAGTCTCTTGCCACGTTGCCTTTCTTTATCCCCGATTCAACGGCTCTTATCATAGCCGCCTTCTGATCTAGCGTTATGCGCTTTCGCTTCCCGCCTCGCGCATTCATGTTGCTGGAATCACGAGCGCAGCACGATAAAAGATAAGGCGGAAGCGGTCGAAAAAGAGAAGAAACACGCACGCAAAAGCAACGTGGCTCACATCGGCGAGCGACAACACTTGCAGAGAAAGTGACTGTGAAGAGGAAGGGGCAGAAGGGGTGCTCTTTTGCGCTGCCCTCTAGGAACCGGTTACTCAAGGGGAAGGGAGTATGTAAGATTAGGAAGCGCGCCTCAGTGCCATGAGAAAGGGGAGAGGGAGAATATAAAAAAGACACAAAAGAAAAGAAAAGGGCGAGACGTTCGCGGAGCTGCGGAGCGCTCCGCTGTCGGTGGTAGCCAAGCGGCGCACGTGCAGCGACCTCTCCTCCGGAAACAGCGCGTGCCGTCTGCTTTGTGCGCGTTGCTGGAGGGCGCGTGGCGGGAGTTTTGAACTGCTAAATACAGTTCTCGCATTTCGCGCCGTCTCGAATTCGCATTGTGCACTGTCGTGACATCGGCTCAAAATTTTACTTCCTAACAAAATTTGTCCGTTATATCCCATAACAGGCAAATTTTGCCTCGTTAAAAGGAGGTTTTGAATACATTGATTTGTATGGGGACTTTCAAGGGGAATTAGGATTCGCTCATTATATCCATTATTTTGTTATAGCCCATCTCGTTATAACGAGGTTTAGCTGTATGTGCGGATCCGAACGAAAACTTGCTCAAAAAACCAAAATGTGCTTGAAGTTTCGGTTTCATAACTGCTGCTTGGCTACGGCTTCGTTTTGTCTACGAGTGGCTATGGCTTGGCTTTTTATCTTTGCGCCCTCGGGTGTTAAAAGTCAGCGCTAGCACCATTTCTCTCTTTGTTGTTGAGTTTTTTGGGCGCTTAGACAGCGGACGGGCGGACCTGTGAACCTCGCTGTATTCTGTGCCTCACTTCGCAAAGGTGCAACATGCCAGAGCACCGAAACCAGTACTCGGCTGCATTCAAAAGAAAGGTCATCGCAGCTGCCGAGGAAATCGGCAACGGTGCGGTCAGAAGACAGTTCGGAGTCACCGAGGGAAGTGTCCGTGGATGGCAACGACAGAAAAAAGCGCTTTTCGTGTGCAGCGAAAAACGAAAAAGCTTTCGCAGTCCAAAGAAGGGGGCCTTCCCAGAGATTGAACTCGGACTGACAGAGTTCGTTCGACAGCAGCGAGCGGCGCACTTGCCAGTCAACATGGAGCTGATGCAGATGAAAGCGAGGGAGCTGGCGAGAGAAAAGGGGATGTTGCGCTTGGACTTCAAAGCCAGCAAGCACTGGATCTACAATTAAACGTGCCAAGTCGGATTTTCCCTGCGCCGGCGAACCTCCATTTAGCAGAAGCTCCCTGAAGCCTTTGAAGAGCTTCTTATCTCATTTCAACGCCATGTGATTACGTTGCGCCGCTCGCAGAACTTTCAGCTGGGACAAATCGGCAACGCTGATCAAACGCCAGTTTACCTGGACATGCCATCGCCCCTTACAGTTCATGAGAAGGGCTCGAAGCAGGTTAGTGTCCGTACCATCGGCAAAGAAAAAAACGTGTGTCACAGGGATGTTATCGTGCACGGCGGACGGCCACAAGCTCCCACTTCATGTCGTCTTCAAGCGCAAGACAATGCCGAAAAGGGAGGAGCTACCGCGGAACGTCATCATGAGATGTCATGATAAAGGCTGGATGAATGAAGACCTTGTCCTAGACTGGGTAAAGTCGGTGTGTTGCAGACGGCCTGGTGCCCTGCTCTCGTTTCCTTACATTCTGGTGCTGGACGCGTTTCGTTGCCATTTGGTCGACTCAGTGAAGAGGCTCTTGCGGGACTGCGGCACGGAACTGGTCGTGATCCGTGGGATGACCTCTCAACTGCAACCTCTGGACGTTTGTGTAAATAATCCGTTGAAGGATGCGGTTAAGCGTTGCTACGCCGAGTGGATGCGCTCAGGTGAGCCTGCAGTGACGCCGACCGGGGGGCTGAAACGGGCATCGCTGGCCACGCTATGCAAATGGATCGTGGACGCTTGGGCAAGCATCCCAGAGGACCTTGTGCGTCGTTCCTTCAAGAAGTGCGGCATCTCTAATGCCCTCAATGGCACAGAAGACGAGCACCTATTTGACGATTTGTCTGACAAGGAAATGCTCGAGAAAAGTGCAGTTGAAGATGACAGCGATTGATGTTTGTGGGTGTGTGCTCAATAAATGTGTTTTCAGTTACCTTTCCTACGTCGTTTTTATACGCGGGTACAATTTTTTTTTCATTTCGCACCTCTAAAATATGTCCTCGTATTACAGTCGGGTTTGTATTATATGCGGGTATTTATGGTATGTACACGCATGGCCACAGTCTTCTGACAGTGCGTGTGTTAATTGTTTGCCACAACCGCTGTAGATGAAACCGCCATCTCTCTTGACGCAATTATGAATGGCGACAACATAACTTACAGCACTCTGAAATATGCGTGCTTCTAACGCTCGGCCAGTCAATGTGTACCTGCTTTTTGCAAACACTGTGGAGAAAACCACGGCAGATGATATCAAAGAGGGTGAAAACGACTTGGTTTGGAAGGCACGTGCGAAACCAACACATGCAGATTGGAAACTGAACTGAGCTGGCCGAAAACGCTGCGCACGAAACTGTGTTCAGGATAATGCATAGCGACTACGAGCTCTGAGAGCACATGACTAATGCAGCAGTAGGTGAATGGCAATAAAGACATTTTAAAATGCTAAAGGTGTTTTGGCGTTCTTGTCGAAAGAACTTGGTAATCGATCAGCATATTATGGATATATACCGTAATTACTCGAATCTAACGCACACCTTTTTTCCGGTTAAGCGAGTTCATAAATCGCATGCGCGTTAGAATCGAGTACGAAAAAAAAAATGAATACAGTCGTTCTATTGCCATCGGCATTCCGAAATGGCCGCCCCCTACGTGCGTCGGCATGGCGCGTCGGCCATTTCTGCCTATGTGTTTCCCATGTGCGGCACTTCGTACGTGTGCTGAGGAGTTCGCCATCTTGGTGTGCAGTAGCATTGACGGCATGGAAGCGCCGACTCCAAAAACTCGACGAGTGCACCACGGTGCCGCTTTTAAAAGAAAAGTCATTGCGTGTGCTGAAACGGGCGTAAATCGGGCTGCATCGCGGTCGTTCGGAGTTCCCGAAACGTGCGTGCGGGACTGGCGGAAACAAAAGCAGAAGATTGTCGATAGCAAAGCTTCACGCAAAGGCTTCAGTGGACCACAGCAAGGTCGGTTTCCGCAAATTAAAGAGCTGCTCGGCGAGTATGTGCTTCAGCAGCGAGCGGCATGGCGGCCCGTGACGACAGAACTGTTCCAAGTGCGGGCTTTGCAGTTAGCCTTAGAATAGAAAAAGGGCTAATGCGGAGCCAGTTTAAAGCGAGCAGGTGCTGGCTAACTACCTTTATGAAGAGGAAAAACTTTTCCTTTGGAAGGCGACCGCGCATATGCGAAAAGTTTTGCGGAGGAGTACGATGAAAAGCTTCGCAGTTTTCAGAGGTTCGTCCTAAACTTGCGGCACAACAATGGCTACCTGCTTGGGCAAATCAGGAATGCCGATCAGACGCCTCTTTACTTCGACATGCCTGGCACCACAACTGTCGAGAAGAAGGGGGCGAGGCAAGTTCGCGTGCTGACATCGGTCCACGGTAAAACTACAGTGACGGCAATGCTCTGTTACACGTCAGATGGGCACAAGCTTCGCCGTACCTCATATTTAAATGGAAGACGCTCCCGAAAGGAGTCGTTTTTTCGAGTGGTGTGATCGTGCGGGCCAGCGAGAAAATTGGGTGCGCGTTGCAATCGATGTTTTACGGGTTTTTTTTTTCGTCGTGGAAATCGGGTGCGCGTTACAATCGAGGGCGCGGTAGAATCGAGTAAATACGGTACTTCGGCATTCAGTTTTGAGTTGGCCTCGAGCAGCTTTGACCTGCACCTTCGCAGCAGTCGGCTGCGCCATCATGTCCCTTCATGTATGTCCTTGGAAGATATACATGAGTTATTTTGACAGAAATAGATTTTGCTAGCTGTTTTGATGATGCGAAATTTCGGCACATGCGAATATTCGATCACCTTCTTTGAGAAATGCAACTTCTGTAGTTGGGAAACCCTACCTCGCGTGTTCGGCCACTCCACGCCATTATAAGCAACATCGATGTTTATGCTTGTGGGGTGTTCCCCCCCCCCCCCCCCCTGTACGGGTAAGCTTTTTGTCACTAGCATCAGAGATTTGGATAGGTTCTCCTTAGTGTGAGTTTAATACAAAAAAGACACACGGGGCCCAAACAATGAAAACTGCACTATGTGTGCATCTTAATTTTTCTGGGCTCTTACTTTCGCTGAGGAATATTTCTTGGAGATACGATACTAAGAAACACATATTGCTACTTTTGTGTACTTCTGAGATGTTATTCCAGTGGCTCATTTCATGACACTCTGTGCACTGTTTTCTTAATCTTTTTAGTATATCCAGTTGTCAACAAAAGTCCTCAACTTTGTCAATGCCTACCTAGTCAACTTTGAGCCAGTACAGGCATATCTCAAGTGAGTTTATGCTTTTCTATCTTATTGGTTTTTTTGCCCTTGTAACATTATCTGAAAATAATTTTGGATGTTTTTGTCCCAGATCTGGGATAGGTATGCCACAGATGGTTATCCTTGCTGGCATTATCAAAGACTTGGACCGTGAGACATGCAAGAGTGAGTGTTTTTTATATTATTAATATTATTATTATTATTATTAAAAGTTGATTTTATTAAATGTTTGCTACTGAGATGAATTTTGAGAGGCAAGTCTGCTTAAAGCAGAGAAAGGGGCCCTTTGTCTCAAAAATGGCCATAATTTAGCATGATTGATTGAGATATTACGTACACTAATGGGTTGAAAGCCCATCAATATGCTTTCTACAAATGTAATTTCAGCAGCAGTACTTTTTTTTTGTCACGTTGCAAAAATTTCCTGCCTTGGAAGAATCGAGTCGCTGCAAGAGCTTGGAATTATTGCGGCCGTGCCTTTTCTAGTAATCACTGGCAAAGAACGAAGGGAAATTGGCGACCACCGAAAAGTGCATCAGTACGATATCGTCGATGAAAATCCTACGTGTGAGGCGTAGCGTCGCTTTAAGGCTACTGCACGCTTTTATTAGCTGGTGACTACCTGAGCGCGCAGGGGCGCCAATCGCTGCCGCCTCGATCGTTGTGTGGGATTGTGTTCAGCGCGCACACCGCTTTGCAAAAACAAAAGTAGCTCTCTGTGGCAGAGTCAATAGTTGTGGATCGCAGGCACCGAGACAGCATGCTTTCATAGGGCGACAGCCAAAAATGCGCCTTAGTCGCCAGAACCTCCAGAGCATCGCTTTCAGAAAGCTCGTATCATCGCGCTAACGTAATAGCTTTCTCGCCGCATCTGTGCACGGGCTGAAGTGGAGTGGGCGTAAGCGGCTGGGCACGGTGTGTATGCCAAGTAGGCTAAGTGCTGCAGGCAACTATAGCCAGTAGACAATTGGCGCCCTGCGACCATACCGTGTCTCAAAATAAGGTGTCTGTTTTCGCGAAGTTGCAAATCGCAGCACACATTTATCGCCAACAGCCGCTTATGTCCGTGTCGTCGCTATGCCAGTTGCTGCGTCAGCTCTGTATCCCGGACTCCGCAGTAGTTTCGAAATGCTCCTTTATGTTGCCACCGCGTGCCATCGGACGACCGTGCGAGAGTGCCAGTCATCTCTGAAATTTGGCAAACAGAAATAAATGGCTTAGTAGTGGGCAATTTAGGCAATATTCGCTGTGGCACTGCATTTATTCCTTTTTTAGTGGCAATGGTGCATGTAAAGAGATGCATATTGATACTGGGTGGTTAATGCATACCAATTTATGGCGCAGTTAGCCACGTTCTCGGCGCTGTACGTATTAACAAGGTTTTACTGTAAAAAGCTTCGAATGTGTGCGTTTGTTGGGGGAGGGGTGCATATAGGCATGCTCAGGGTTTTCTTTCAGGGGGGGGGGGGGGTGGGGGGGGGGGGACAAAGGTTCATCGCAGCATCCCCTTCTGTATCATGTCGATGCATGAATCAAGCTTTGCCCCCCCCCCCCCCCCCCCCGCCTCCCCATGGGCATGCCTATATGAGAGCCCATGCGTGCTCCAAACACAGAGGTAGCTGCTCCAAAAGCAAATTTTGCCTGCGGCAATGGCTTCTCCGAAATGCTGGGAAGCATTTCCACCTCTGCTTTTGGCAACAAGGTAGTATTGATCTGGTTAATGTTTTCAGGCCAATTTTTCATCTGCCAAAAAACATTACTTAAATAAACAGTGAAGAAAGAAATGCACTGCTCACGCCACCTGGTATCAAAAGCAGCAACAGCTCTCTAATGCGAGTATACTCGCACATCGAGTTCACAAGGCAGTGTGGCTAGCTACAAAAATATGGCTTGTCACCATTGTCTTTCAGTTCCCACTGAAGGATGATATTCAATACTGAAACCAGGGCATTGTCACAAATGCTTTCCCACTTTTTGTAAAGGAGCACGTTAAGGGGAAATAAAAAACGTAAATATTGCGCTGGTTCATTATTTATACACCAGTTATACTCGTACGTAAGTGGAACCCTGATTATACAACATTCATGGTAACACGCAAAACCATCGCATAATCAGGGCATTGTAAATCGAAAAGCTGAGATTATAGGCAGTGACACTCAGCCTTGCCCGATAAATGGGTGCAGACCGCTTGCATAAGCTCACAGCATGGCCTTGTGCCTCTGCAAGGAAGGTTGATCAAATTATTCTTGCCAGTAGCAGCTAATGGCAGTGTTATTGGTTGAAGGAGGTGCTAGCGAATCTTTATTTTTAGCCTTAATAAAATCAAATCTAACGAGCATCTTTCTACCGATAAATGTAGTCTGAAAATTGCTTTTGGGGACAACAAAACCGAAACCGCGTTGCCAACAGCCTCCCAATAGACAGGTCAGACACAGTGTCATCGCTATGACATAATGGCGACGGACCACGAGTTTGCATAGAATGCCTTTGTGTGCAACTGAGATGTGCGCATTGTAATTTGTTGCCTTGGGAAGTGCAACTAGTGGCGTCCCACTGTTACTATAAATGTTGACGTAAAGTGAAAGTAATTTTGCAAGGTGAAAATGGCTGTGTTGCACCCTTATGCGTGCGCAAGCCTGTGGCTGTGAGTGCAACAAAGACAGGAGGTCAGCCGTATGTCGACCAGGAAAAGTTTCCACTGATTAAAAACATTAAAATATCAGTTCTTGGCCAACTGAAGCTACTCTGTAAGACAGAGCTAGACTAGGTACGACCCCGGATACGTACGCATGCATTCAAGGCTTATGTAAAAGTGCATGAACGTCCAGGAGAACAAATTTTTGATTCTAAGAAGACATCCTGTCTCACTCTCTACCTTTGCAATCGTCAACCTAGGGGAACGCAAGTTCATATTTTGCACTCGTGAATAATTGGGCGACGTTTGATTCGAGTAAAGGTGGCTTTTTTTTTCCCCGGATGGAATGTGAAGGTTGGAAGATGCGGGGTCGGCGTAAAACTGTGTCGTGTTACCAAGATATTTAATACATTAGTTCTATGGGTATTTTGCTGGGACCAAACTGATTCTTCGTTAAATGCGGGTTGTCGTGAGCAGGGGACGTATAATCGAAGTTCCACGGTAGATATTATATAAAAAAGTAGAGTATTGCAGTTACCCCTGTTAAAAATGTGACTGTGTAGTTGCACTTACTGCCTCAAAAATGTAACTGATGAATTGAGTGGAAGCTACTATAATTTCATTTCACTTTCATTTTTTTATTTTAAATATATCTTTGCCTGCACACAGCACAGAAGTCGTTCATGACATTATCTTGCCTCAAGTGGAATTAATCATATTTCAAAAAACCCTTCAATGTGGCTGTTTTGCGAATCGAAACAAGAACTTTGCACATAGTGCTAATCCCCTAACCACTGTGGCGCTTTAGGACATAAATAAACCTCAACCATATTCATGAAGTGCTTCTGAAAGCTCAAAGTATAGTTGCAGCTACACAGCGCTCTGTAGTTGTTTCTGAAAATATGTGCAGGTGCACTTGCATAGCATCTCATAATGCATCTCAATGCATTATGCCCATAATGCATCTCAATCAGCATTTTACACATAATCTTTGCATCACTAGCTTCCATGATGCAACAAACATGTAATATGGCAAACTATGATTGCAAGTGTTAGGGAATGGATAGCAAGGTTGTAGAAGAGTGGCTTGGAGCTATTGAATAAATACGAAAACGTTTTAGACACTGAATGCCGTGCCAACATTGCAGGCCCACGCGACTTGCCTCAATGTGAATAAAGAATTCTTTTTGTTTCAATTTTCATTAATTTTGGCTAAGACGAAACATAGTAATATGCTGAATGTTTAATATTTTTTTTAGAAAAAGCACTGGTTCCTTTATGAATAATATAATCACATTTCGGCCTTTATAAGTTTATGTACTAAATTTTGCAGGGTAAAAATTGTGCAGGATTGAATAAAACAAACATTCTTATGAAATTGTGGACAAAGTTGAAATCTGACCGATAGGTTATTGTGTAGCAGACTTTGTTGGTAATATATGTAAGCAATTGGAAAAGAGACATTTTTCAAACTGAAATACCTTCGAGCCCGCTTACGACAAACCTGAGCGTGATGCAACATTCATTCGCTGTATCCCCGAATTCGTAGTAAATGAAACACAGCTTTTAAAGAAGTTCCGAGTAAAAACAAAAAAGTTTTTTTCACAAAAAAAGTGTAAAGCGCATGTTTGAAACTGCAGAAGCAGTTGAGGTGGTCTCAAAATTATTCAAAGCAACAGCGTGCTCTTCGCCGAGGCCTTCGGCATATGCGAGCTGCCCAAGGCTGATAATGTAGCCAATTGCTGCAGGCACGCTCATGGGAACTGGCTTCAAAGTTTTATCGTCATCATTCGATTCCTTCAGATCGCTCTTGCTCGCTTTGATCGCTATGCCCTTCATTCACAGTGCTTTCATTCATGCACGGTTCCACAATGTTGGCATCGTCATCCGTTGTAATGAAATCATCGCAGCAGATGTCCCGCCCTGCCATGTGGGTGTTGACGATGCTGCCGCTAATTGCCGCTGGAGTGGTCCTGTTCGAAAGCTTCAGGCTCTTCATCGGACCCGACGTCGACGAAGTTCGCCTTGCGAGAACAGTTTCACACACATGTAGCTGTCGCCATTGTGAGGCAACTATGATAAGTCTTAAACGGGCGGATCATGCCCAAGCCAAGTGATTCCACTTTTGACATTTTGTTGAGCAGCAGGAAAAAGTGCGAAAGGCGTTCCGTTCACCATCCTGACCACACACACACTTCAAGAGTGTGCAAGACGTGCACGCGCGACATACAAGCCAGAACGCATGGGATTGCTCTGGACCCGTTATTAGCCAGAAAAAGAAACTTCTGACATCGAGCCATCATAACCAGTGTGGCTGGCGTTGCAGAGCAGTAGAGACGGTTAAAGGGGTTGCAATAGAGTAAAGAGAGGAGAGCAGACGGGGGAAAGGCAACCTTGAAAACCAAAACAAACTGGGAAAAGGCGGGTCGAGTAGCTTGCTTGAAAGATCCACGAAACGCGCTGGAAAACGCATAGGAAAACTTGAGGGAGTGGTCTGAATACACAGAGGTCAAAGAATTGGATTGTGACAAGCCTACGGGCTTGCGTGGCCCCGCCAACTTCAATAATTTGTGATTCGTTCTGTGTAACAGCCATTTTTACGCTTCTGCACTCGTGCGCAGAGCATGCTGAGTGAAATGGAAAGTGAGCGCGCGAACACGTACTTAACACGAAACGAATCGCGCATTATCAGTTGTTGGAGCAGCGCAAGCACGTGCACTGGAATAATATGTCACCGATTTAGACACGACACAGACTCGGACGGTGAGGTACGGTCGGCGGCTGACTATGTTGGTAGATGGCCTGGTCACTCTAGGCTGGTGACGCCAACAATAGTGTAGCAAGACCAGTGATCTAAAACTGAGGGGAGACAAGTCAACCTGCGGTGGCAGTGTGATAACACATGCCTTGTCTGGCGATGCGGGGTGCTCAGATCGAGTAGAGGAGGTACAAAGGCTGAAGGGGTGCTTAACAAAATGCGGTTGGGGAGAGCGACAGCTAGAGGGCTGCGGAGATAGGGTTGGTGGTTAACAATGAATATCTATGGGCCTCGCTGATGGCTTATCAGCGGTTGAAAGTGGTTTCGCGGGAATTTGCCGGATTGCCAACTTCGTTAGCTGTAATCGATCGGCAGTGCTCGGAGACGTTCGTTGTAAGTGCGATTTTGTGCCATTGAAATAATATACTTTCCGCGGTCACGTGGCTATCGTTCGTTTTAAGTGAAAATTCGTTTTTAGTGGGGCTGTTATATGTAGTCTCTACTGTACAACAAGATTAGGTTATGTCTCCCTTCGCTTTGCCTTATTGCAGAACACATCAATGCAAGCGTCAAGTGGGTGCACTTGGGTAGAGACTAATGCAACTCATACTTCTTCTAATCCAAAAAAAACATGTTTGAACTGTGCTACAGTGGTTGCATTTCAGTGAACGTGAAAAGAGGAAGGCCCGTGTGTTGTGCGTAATCAATGCATGTTAAAGAACACCATGTTGCAAAAATAGTTTAGTGCCCTCTAATAGCGTCTTTCATAACATGAGTCACTTTGGGATTGTAAACGTCAAAGATAAAATATGTTTGTTGCATAATATTTTTGTTTTGTGATTTAGATGCAAGGCCCCAAACATGGGAGCAGATGAGTAAGGCTTTATGCCATAGCATGTTCATTTTAAAAACAGATTTGGTTGTATGTAATTTCAACTAATTATGTGTTATATTCTACAGGCACAATTGGTCTTTTGTTTGGAGTTTCTCTGGGCCAACTGTATGAGGACTTCTCAAGAGCACTGGCTAGGTTCATTCATAATGTATTGGCCACTGGCTTGTTGGATGACGTCTACCAGGTAAACTGACAAGTTTGTTGCTGCGTTATGGAAATAGATAATGTGAAGTGCTATGCAAATAAGGTTTCTCTTTTCTAAGGCTGGAAAATTCCGGCAATATAATGAAGCATCCAGTTAAAGCTGGTGCTTGTGTACAAAAGCATCAAAGGAAAACCATATCTTGTGGGATATCGATATGAGGTAACACGCTGTCAAAGCGAACGGACACAGCAAACGCAGTTGAACTAAGCTAAAGCATGCACATCCTGTACCTTTATTCAAGTACATCTACATCGACAATATTGCCAGCTGAATGAAATATGTCACTAGTGATATGCTAAAACAACCTTACACAATATTTTCAATACGGCACTCAATTAACATAACAAGCACAAGGTAATGATGTGAAGGCAGCGCCACTGACTCGCCACAAATGGAGCCACAAGAGACGACCCGTAGTGTCGCTCCCATGGACCCACCACGGAAGACTACTGTTCGCGCCAGCTGCTACACGTCAAACTCTTGGTATTGCTTTCTGTTAGGCCACATAGTCTTTCTGCCGGGTGGCTCTGCTGGCACTACTGTGCTAACCATGATGATGATAGTGAACCCACACGCACGCTGTGCCAGCGATCTGTTAAACTTAAATGCCGCCTATTCGTGAGACATGTGCGCTCCCCGAGGCGCAAACGGCTTTACTGGGGGGTGGCCTTTTCTCAGTCTACATGTGTCTAAATGTGCATTTTTGCCGTTCAGCATTTGCATCGACAGGAAAGGTCAGTATTGTACTTGACGTGATGTTGAAAGTTGTGTGTGTAAGTTTTTTTTTTCTTTTTTTTATACAATACAGATTTTAAACAAAATACTAGTTTTTTCAAACGAACCTACGCCACCGCAAAAAAAGCTTTGCTACATCAAAAGTTATTCAAATTATTGAATAACATAAACTCGACTCTCTCATCCTTATTTTGAGGGCAATTTATATGAAAAAGTTGTAGGATGCGACAATTCATGGCATGCCCATTTTTTTAAATCTTGAGAAACTCTCGTAATTTGGCGTATTGCATATTGAAATTCAAAGTCCTGATCCTGGAAATATTGAAATTGAGTGCACCGGGCGCGGAAAGTACGATAGCTGGGTTTCCTCAAACTGTAACTCGTCACCAGTTTTGAAAAACAGTGTGTCACAGCAGAATCTAGTCATGAAAAACGTCAAATTATCACAAATACCCAACTGGACCACTCGTTCTTTACATTCGGTGTGTATTGCCCAATTGTTTGATATGTACTGATGATCTGCGCCCAAGGTAATTATTTAAAAGTTAACATGTTTTTGTTAATATTGATTCAATGAACTTAACGTGTGCCAAAGTTTTTCCACCTTCAAGTTCGTTTGCAAAGATGACAGAACCGGACAATCATAGCCTCTGTATTGTCAAAAAAAAAACACAAAAAAAACCCTGTATAGCCGTTTTATCTGACCATTTCAAGTGAGTCCACTTCTGTTAAGCTGAACTCTTTGATGGGCTGAGCAATGTTAGTGCTGCATAATTTTTAATAAGTTAAGTTCGCTGCAGTATTAGACACAAAGCAAAAACTGATTTGGAGAGTCCTATTTTCATTTTAAACAGTTCATTATATTTTTCTGATACATTAACAAAGTATAGAAAAGCTAATTACTAAAAGCTTCTTTATTTCTTTAATTTTATAGTAGCAGTTATATTCAGAACCTCTAACAGCTTCTTCCTTTATCAGAGTGGTTTGTTTGTGTTCGCTTACCCTCTTTATATATATAGGATGGCCTCTTGACTCATCTGAACATCAACCCATGGATTCAGAAAGAATGGCCATTGCAAATCTACTGGCGTACATTGTCAGTGTTGGCACAGGCAAGTTTGTGTTTTGTTTTCAAACTCCGTCTTAATGATGTTACCTGTCAAAATGGAGCTAGCAATATATGTTACATGTAACTCGTGGTAATGGGCCTTGCATCATTTCTTGGTTTATTGCCGTCGTGCAAAATATTCAGGTATATTAAAAAGGCCCTGCAGGACTCATGTTCTGACACTGGTGAGAGAATGCTGCTGATAACTTGTCAGGGTGCCTGTCTATATGTGCCAAATATTATGGAGCTGAGAATTCACAGTATTGCGTCAAAGACGGTCAGAAATCACTCCCTTTCCTCATGGCAAGTCTCCCATGATGAATACGTAGATAAAGGGAGGGATCTGCTCATTTGCTCATTGGAAATGCATTTTCTGTAATCCTTATATTGTTTGTTTGGAGTTTAATTAAACAACATACACATGGTCTCACTTCAGATAGGCATGTGCGAAGATTAAATTTTTGGTTCAAAGAAAATACAAAGTGAATAATGATTTGATTGAACGATTTGAATGAAATTTGAAAGTAGTATACACCACATGTTATCCAAAAAGTGCTACTTTGAATAGTAGCGGATTGGACTTTCAGCAGAAAGCCAATGATCACCTGTAAAATGCGTTATTTTAAAGTTTACTGGAAGCATATCATCCTGCATAACATGCTTTTAAACCTAAGAGAATGATGAATCACTGTGAGGATAATTCTGTATTCTCTCCCATAATTTGCACACTCCTAATATTTTGCCAGCTTTAGTACAAAAATATGTTTACTCACATATTTTGCGCTCCCCGACCTGCCTGAGCCAGCTCACCTGCGTGCGCACGAAGTGACTTTGGACCTGTGAATGCTTCAGACGGGCGCTGGGCACGCACCTTGTCGAGCAGGCAAGTGCAGTCAAACTCGCTGCAAGTGTGAAGTACCTTGTTCTGTAGGTTCCCCCCAATCGGGGTCCCTAGAATACCGTACCCGAACACTCAATCCTGTTGTTGAGTAGCCAGAACTGTTCGAGCGTTTGCCTCCCTCTAACTCTGCATTTATCTCCTCATCTCTACAGAATGTGCGTTCGCATCAAAGTACGAACAACTTTCTGCATTGGAGGCGTGCAACGGCCCGTCGCCTCAACTGTTCTTCTTGTTCTCTGCGTCCACACTACAACGCACGCTTGGTTAATTTCGGAAGTTGAGGTTTCTCCATCCGGCCGATCCGTTTTTAAGATTCCGTTGCGATGGGCTAGAGTAATTACATATACGGCAAAATTTAAGCTCACTGTTATAATGTTTTCTAAAGAAAACTGGAATCGTGCTGCCGCCAAGCACTTCAGCGTAAAGTTCTTAGTGTGACGGTCGGCGCAATTGGTGCTGGAGAAAGCAGAATTGTGCGTGCTTAGTAATACAAATTTCCTGCCATTTACGGTTTTTTCCGTTTTGTGCGAACGCTTGGGTTCTCCGGTGTCGACATGTCATGGGACCTAGTTTCTCCCAACATTGTCGACAAGAGCTTCAAGAAAACGAGGCATTTGAACGCGCTTGATAACACCGAGGCCGATGTGCTTTGGGAATCATCATGCGGCCCCTGTCACCGCTCTCCCAAAGCGCATCGGCCTTAAATTTTATTTACTCTTTTAAATTTTGTTATTTATCAGACAAAACTGGAAGGTCGCAAGGCTAAAAGCCGTGACAACGCCTTGATAAAGGTCATGGTGACCTGTGTGTACATATGGCAGTAGTGCGGAAACGATTGCAAGTATACAACATGCAAGTACAACGTAAAACATGAACATATACATCCTAATTTAAAAATGATTTCCTGACTGATTATTTCACAACACCTCTTGTGAATGGGTAAGAAAAAGGGTTTCCAAAAAGCAAAATACACCATGCGTAAACCATCGTATACACTGACATGTACAAACTAAAAAAAATGTATATACAATAGAGAAGGAAAAAAAAGACGGCGAAAATAAACGTATCATCTGGAAGAACGCTTGATCCGAATCCAGTAAAAATGAGGCTGACAAGTCCATATGCTGCCTCTCATCGTTAGACTAGAAAAGCTCCTTCTGCACACATTGCAGACCCTTGTCCACATTTTCATTGTTTTTTCTGCAAAAGAAGATTTTAAAGCTTGCAGTCTAACAAGGGCTTCGGCGAAGTTAGCCAGTCGGCGCACGCTTTTGTTCTCACCGCTGTCTTTTGGTGCCTCGTCTCCCACATCCTCTGCTGCTTCGCCTTTCACCACCTCTGCGACAATCTCGGAGACACTTCGCCGCTTGCAAGTCGGGACGTTGTCGTTTATCGAGACGAATTTGGCGCATTGTGCATCGCCACCGGTGGAGAGGAACTCCTCATCGATGTCGTCGTTGTGCCAGATTCTCACATCACCGGGTCGTTTTCGCGGCACTCTGTATCCTCTGATGCAAGCTGCCACCAAAGACAGCACTTCCTGAAACAGCTGCATGCTGCCATCAAAGTTGACCCTGGAGGCCTGTGCTTGCTTCTAGCTCCCCATGATGGCCTCCACGAGCTCACTTTGTTGCGCCGCCGAATAAAAAGGCATTCATCTCAATCTCTTTTTGCTTCGACACCACAGTATTCACAGTACACACTGATAGTCCAAGTTTGTTCGCTATGTCAATTCGCTTTCTCTTCAGGTTCCTATTGACGACCGCAAGGATATTCAGCTTCTTTAATCCACAATGGCTTGTGCTTCTTCGACGCCATGCCAGATGTGACTGTCTCGAATCGCGAACTATGCATATTGAGCAACGTGCAGCCTTGCACAGGGCCCAGCGCAGCCTGCATATCCCTAAACTGTTCCGCATCGATGTCAGAGAATAGAGTGGTCTCCATTGGCTGCGATATCAGTTACGTAGTTCTCGGCATCCACATGGGTAGGCCATGGACAACTATTGCAGAGCACCGACAGTGGAAACGTAAGAGAGCTCCCATTCCCCGGGCCGAAAGGGCAGTACGGGCATGAAAACAGGCCCGGGAGGCCGAGTGCCAGCAGCGAATGTGTACCGATGATTCGGCAGCTTTACAGGTTCCGCTAAATCGCGAAAATCATCATGGCATAAAAAATAAGTCATTTTTTTGAAAACTGTTTGAAGACTTTGGCAGCTCAGATGGGTGTCTGTATGGAAGAGGGGGTACAATTTAACGCAACAAAGGAATCCCCATTACCGTGCGGCGCCATTGTGCCACTTGGCGCTTCACAAGCACGTGAGAGCGTTTTTTTTTTTTTTGCACACCTGGATGTGCAAAAAAAAGTGTTGTGGAAATGTTGTAGGAAAAAGCTTGGTGCCTATCTGTAGTGCGGAAATGCGGTACGAACCAAGTATCTGTATTTTCGGTGGGAATTGTAATGAGACGATGTTCTAGGCTTTACAGGGATCTAATGAAGTTGGAGAGCTCCTTATTTGAGAAATAAAGTGTCTGCAATAAGCGAAATGTGTAGAGGTTGTTAGCTTGTATTATATGAAATTCTTGGTAAGCTCTACGTGTTATTTCAAATCATTCAACATTTCCAATCTGGCTGACTATCTTTTTTTGCAGAATAATGACTTTCTTTATGTTTGCTTTGCTTGTTGTGGCCTATACAGGGCAACGAGACATCACTAAAGAGTCTCAGCATCTGATAGTTCAGATGTTCCTGTTAGGAATGTGCAAATATGTGCATGCATATTTTTCTCAGAGCCCCTAAATTGCGAAAAAAAGTGCGCAAATTATGCGAGTAAGTACGCAATGTTCATTAAACCTTTAAAATGGGCTTTGTGGCAATGTGAATTCCTTCTGAATAGTAGGCATATTCTCAGTATAGCACCTCTTTGCTGCAGTGAAACCATCCTTAGAAGGGTTTACTTGTGATTAATATAACTATTCGTTACTTTCGAATACTTTGAAATTTGGAATAATATGAATGGATGTCGAAGTGAATTTGAATACTGGAATATTCATTTGGATATCTGGAGTGCTCTAATATTTGCATATGCGTAACAAGAAAATCGACTACCGTATTTACTCGATTCTTACGCGCCCTCGATTGTAACGCGCACCCGATTTCCACGACGAAAAAAAAAACCCGTAAAACATCGATTGCAACGCGCACCCAATTTTCTCGCTGGCCCGCACGATCACACCACTCGAAAAAACGACTCCTTTCGGGAGCGTCTTCCATTTAAATATGAGGTACGGCGAAGCTTGTGCCCATCTGACGTGTAACAGAGCATTGCCGTCACTGTAGTTTTACCGTGGACCGATGTCAGCACGCGAACTTGCCTCGCCCCCTTCTTCTCGACAGTTGTGGTGCCAGGCATGTCGAAGTAAAGAGGCGTCTGATCCGCATTCCTGATTTGCCCAAGCAGGTAGCCGTTGTTGCGCCGCAAGTTTAGGACGAACCTCTGAAAACTGTGAAGCTTTTCATCGTACTCCTCCGCAAAACTTTTCGCATATGCGTGTACCCCTTCGGAGGGAAAAGCCTTTCGTCTTCATAAAGTTAGTTAGCCAGCACCTGCTCGCTTTAAACTGGCTCCGCATTAGACCGTTTGCTAAGACTAATTGCATAGCCCGCACTTGGAGCAGTTCTGTCGTCACGGGCGGCTGTGCCGCTCGCTGTTCAAGCACATACTCGCCGAGCAGCTCTTCAATTTGCGGAAACCGACCCTGGTGTGGTGCACTGAAGCCTTTGCGTGAAGCTTTGCTGTCGACAATCTTCTGCTATTGTTTCCGCCGGTCCCGCACGCACGTTTCGGGAACTCCGAACAACCGCGATGCGGCCCGATTTCCGTCCGTTTCTGCACACGCGATGACTTTTCTTTTAAAAGCGGCATCGTGGTGCACTCGAGTTTTTGGAGTCGGCCCTTCCACACCGTCGATGCTAATGCACTACTAGATGACGAACTCCTCAGCTCACGTACGAAGTGCCGCATATGGGAAACACATTGGCAGAAAATGGCCGACGCGCTATGCCGACACACGTAGGGGGCGGCCATTTTGGATTTGCCGAT